ATTCAGTTTTTATTATTAAGATTTTAATGTTCAGAAATTTTTTATATTATTTTTGCATTTTTGAAATAATTATAAAATATTTCTTATTCTCTTCAACTAAGGTAAATGCTCTAACACTTGGCATTTATGTATGTATGGTTTACAACAAGTTTTTCAACAATTTTTTTTAACAATGGCAGCACTGAACAATATTGAAAATATTTTAAAGTACTTAAACTAACCCAAATAATTTTTTTTTTAAAATTTCTACAAATTCGAATACATATACTTCATTTATCAGACATTTTGTCAAATTCGTGAAGGAGTGCGGCGAATTCGCCATACATAATAGAAAACTGTCACATTTGTTGTCAAATTACCTGGCGAATTCGCCATAATAAAAAGCCTAGCATATTATAAATCGAGATTAAGTAAAACAAATTTATCAATTTGACTTGTCCTCTTATTTTACTGATTTTCCAATTTTTCAATATAATTTCATTATTTTTAATTATTTTCGCCTTTTTTTGTGCGTCAATTTCAAAATATTTTGAACAGAATATTATATTTGATTTAAAGTATTAAAATTAAAGGACAATTATATAAGATCCTCCTGGAATGTTATTTACAATTAAGATGATCCTTTAAACTGGCTTCCGGGCTCATAAATTCTTTTTTGTTTCAATAATCATACCCTAAAGTTGTTTAGAGCAAATGCTTAATATAATTTATTTTCTTTTGCCATTCTTATTATTATTATGGTTTTTTTTCATGTTATTTAATTTTCGTTCGTTCTATTAAATAATTGAAATTATTAAAAAAAAAAAATTCCGTTATAAATTATCACGATTATAATAGAATGTTAGAAGAGCATATAATTTAAAAATCCAAATCCAACTTAAACCTTTAATTATAATAGTAATGATAATATAGTCATCACTCATCATTCAATATCACATATTCAATCATAATTCGTTCAATCATAAATTTACAGTTTGATGTTAATTGAAATAAAAGATAGAAAAAGAATTTAAAACACAATAGAATTAAAGAATTTTTAAAAACACATTAAAATATTACAAGTTAGAGTAAGATAGAATATTATAAAATAACTGAAATATTATTGTATGAGTTTATACAAATATGTACGTATTTACTTATGTATATAAAAAGAAAGTAGGTCCAATTAAGCATTACCATAATTAAAAAATAAAACTAACAAAAATGTTATTATGTTTTTTTTTTCTCCAATTCTATATACATAGTCATAATTACAACAATACTAAGCGATTGGCAGCTATTGTCTTATAATTTTGATTTATGAACGAACAATAATCAATATATGTACGTATGCATGTATGTATTGATAATACAATTATATAATAACCTGTTAAATTGTAGTTAAATAAATTGGAACGATGTAGAAATATTATGTGTTAACAAATTAAAAATATAAGAGAATAGAGAGGAAGAGAGAGAGAGAGAAGCTATGCATTAATTGTATGCACTACCTAGGATTGCCACCTGACAAAAAAAAATATTACCGATTGTCAACCGAAAAAAAATGTTCTCAATGCGATTTTTTAAAAACAAACTGCGACTACTTTGACATTTTTACTATTTCCTTAATCTGAAAATAAATTCTCTCAATTTTCTCGGTCATAGAGATAACTAACTGAAAATAATTTTATTGTCCTTTTGCTCCTATTAAACACACTGAAATTTCCAATTATTTTCCGTTCTCTTACAATCATTGCTTATACACTCCGTATACATTCCACCTAATTGCATGTGTGAACAGTGAATAATTAAAATTCTCGCAAAAAAATAACTAATATGGTAACGTTTTTTTTGAAAAACTAATCGGAAAAACAAAAGAATAACACTCAAACATTTAAAAACAAAACTTTTTATTTAATTTTGCCTTTTATAAAGGCGATTAGGCGAATTAATTTTAATTCGGAAACCAACGGGATCGTGAAAGAAAAGTGTGGTCCACAAACAAATTATTCTTGTTTTGTGATTGAATACCAAAAAATTTTAATTACAAAAAATTAAGAATTCTATGGATTCTATGTGAAACTAAAATTACCGAATGTAAAAAATATTAATCATTCTTGGTATAAAAATAAAACCAAAATGGCAACCCTAATTGTACACTGTTTATTGATTTTAAAAGTAATGAATAGAAGTGAAAATTGTTTTAACAGTAACATTAATTTATTATTTAAAAATTCTTATTTAAAATATGCCATATTATAAATTTTTAATTGTAAAAGCACTGTTATCTGTTAATATTATAATCATAGAAGCAAGTATGTATAAAAATTTATATAACTTACATAAGTATGCTAATTATTAACACCCGATATAATAAATTAACATACATAATAGTAAAAGAGAATAAAATTTATTGTTGACCTTATATAATATAGAAAAAATGAGAAATTTTAATTTGAATAGTTGTGATAATTAATTGTTAACAAATTTCTCTGTATGATAAATTAATTATGTATGTTGGGTATAAGTTTACAAAGATGTTGGAAGTTGTACCTTGTACATAATATAAAAGAAAGTTAAATAAAAAATTAATTATAACATTTTAATTTATGTTCAATTATATGCGAGCATAAAATTAATCTGTTATACATTTGTACAGTATAAATGCAATAATATTTTAAATACATACGAGTATTTGAGTTTCTGAACATAACATTAGAAATAACACAAGAATGTGTTTTTATACGCATAGGGTTTTTGAAATTTGATGTTATGGAAATTTGATGGTCGGTTAATTACTTATAATATTGTGCATTATGAAAGCATGTCCACAGAGGCCCTACTATTGTGCATTATGAAAGCATGTCCAGGAGCCCTACTATGTCCAGGGGCCCTAATCACATTACTATTGTGCATTATGAAAGCATTTCTAGGGGCCCTACTATGTAATTCGATTTTTATATTTCCAGAAATAGAAAAGTACCATACAAATTGATTAGTACCACCTTACTATTTTTCCGAAAACGAAAATCGTTTTATAAAAATCGAATTGCATAGTATGGTCCCAGGTATAATATTAATTTAATTGAAATATATATAAGCGAAATACATATAAGATCAAATTAGATTTCTGTTAAGATGTTAAAGAAAACCACTAAAGTCAATTCTATAAATACGATAAACTTTACTTAAATACTAATTCTGTTATAACCAGCAAAGTAAACTCTTATACATTCTTTTAATAATTCTTAAAATTTTAATAAATCAAGTAATTTGTTTTATAAAAATATTGTTAAATATAACAATTTATTTAAAGTGTTAAATTTATATACGTAAATATTTCAAGAATTAAAGAAATCAATTCAATCAATTTAAATTAAAGTATTAATTACTTTATAAATAAGAAAATTAAATTTACTTATTAAAATTTCACTGATATTATAGTAATATTACAATTTCATTAAATACCTAGGTACTTGTATATATAGGCATATACACATATTGAAAATATTGCATTTAAATAAATTTATTTACAAAATTGAATAAATATTTATATGTGTTATACAAAATTATATTAAAAATTTTTGTAATAAGCAAAGTGGAATTGTAAATATAATTATCATAAATTAATTATTTAAATATTTTCTTAGAAATATTTCATGTGTAATTATTATTCAATTTTTTATATTATTTTATATAGTAATTAAAGGTAAAATACCGTAAAATTATGTAAATATTTATATGAATAATTAAGATTCTATTTAAAATGAAAAATGATTCAATTTACATTAAATTTAATAAAAATATTTGGGAAAATTAGTTTACACTTGAAATTTTAAATATGCACATATAAATTCATGGAATGGGTTTATAGAATTGGATAAATACCGTATTTACGATTTAACGACAATTATGCCACACATTACATTAAGAATTTATTATTTATGTGATGAATGCAATTACATACATAACAAACACAATGCATACTTAATACAACTTTAATAATAGTATAAAATTGACCTCTAAATAGAACATGGCCCCTGGATCTCTGTACGTGAACTTATTGTTGAAAGAGATTGATTCTCTCAAGATACTCGATTCAATAGAAACATAAGTATCGAATATAGTTGATGCCATTGAGGTCCTTATTTTAAAAATTAATTGAGGAATATATAATAAATCTATTTATTGAACCCCAGAGCCTTGTTAACCTAATTTTTCGCAATATAATCAATTGACAATTTTAACTCTACGCAACACTGATTACCGTACTTTTAAATAACTTGTAATATATACCATTATAAATTAATGTAAAAAAAGGACACTACTGTTCTGAATGTGACAAGAGTATGTTTTCCAATAAGCATAAAAATATACATGCAATTTTTTAAAACACCTAATGAATTTTATTCCGTACTACTTGATTGCTATTTTTCACTACTACTTGATTGCAACGTTATGGCTTATGAAGGAAGTAGAAATACATTCAAAATTATCAAAATCAAAAATAGAATCAATTTAATAATAAAAAAAAAATTTAAAAACTAATATACTGTATTTATGAATGAAACTGTTATACTATATAAATAAAACATGCGCAATAAAATTCCGACGGCAATAATTGGAGAAAATTCCGAATTGTATTTTTTTTGAAAAGCTTTAAAGGAGAAAATTTAAAACAATAATATGAAAATATAATTCTGTTATACAACAGTAGTCAAATAATTAAAAATAATTTTCATAATAGTAAATACTTTGCAATTTACTGTCGTTATATTTATTAACTATTATACATTTGCTTTCAATATTATTCGAGTTGAATGCAATAAACTTTTATGACACTTTACGTATTATGATACTTAAGAATTATATTATTATTATGACATAAGCTTTGTATTTTATTATCGTAACAATAATTGTTATATTATACTATTTATCATAATGCTATCAACTGAAATTTTTTATAATAATTTCTTATTATTTTCTTCTTCTTTGATTTTAGAATGTACAATAAAAGAACAATGATTGGTTGGACACTATTTGTCAATATATTTTTACATATTATTGTTATAACAATTGCATATCCACAACAGTATGCACAACAAAATTATCAACAACAATATGAGGCAGCAAGAGCTCAATATTATGCAAATCAACCAAAACAATTATCACCAGTATATAGTCCTCAATTAGCACAACAATATAGAGCGCTTCAATTGCAACAGCAACAACAGGAACAACAACAGCAAAAACAACAAGAACAACAACAAAAAGAAGAACAATTGAAGCAAGAACAATCTGAACAACCACAATTACAACAACAACAACAACAAATAGAAGAGGAACAAGAACAAGATGATGAAGATCAACAACAAATTGAATCAACTGGAAGAAAATTTGCTGTTAAACCGAATGCATCAAAAAAAGTCGCTTTAGATGATATCGAAGAAGATTTACAATCAAATCAAATTCAAGAACAAACTGCTGTCGGTTTTTCATGGTCAAATATGTTAGCATCAGTATTACAAATGTTCTTTAATAATTATGCTTTAAATAAATCTGATGATGTTGATAATGGTTTTCCTCCATCACCTTGGACCAATATCATTTCAATGGGTATATATACAAATAATAATAAAAAAATAAATTAAATTCAATAATTAATAATTTCTATTTAAAAATAACAAAAATATTTTCTTAAAATTTTTTAATTTATTTTTTTTTTGTTTGTTTTTCATTTTCAAAAAATAAACAACAAAAGGTCTTAAAATTATTACAACAATATTAGGTGGTGGACCACCTTCAGATGGTATTGATAAAGTTGATAATCCTGGATCTCCAATGCAGGTAATTTTCTTGATTTTATTGATTTACAATAATATAGTATAACAGTTTTGGGGGGAAAGTATAATTGGGATACTTATACTTAATATTTATATAGAAATTTTTTGAAGGGAAATGAGGAATTTTTTTTTATTAATTTAATATAAAATTTATGTTAAATTTTTTGTATAAGCTTTTTGATTTAGAAATTAATGCTGTTGAGTCTTATGCTTTTTAAATTAAATAGAAATATTAGGCAACTTTTTATCATTTAAAGTTCTTATGGTTTATTCCCTTAAATATTTTAAAAGTATACTCAATAAAATTTCTAAATGAACTGCAAATTAAGAAAATATTCTTATATTTTTGTGTTAGTATGTGATAGAGTGGTGATTGGTTTGCACAATTCGCATAATACACATATGAAATAAATATAAGTATTGGATAAGTTCTTAAGCATTTGATTTTTAATTTAATGAAAATCACTGAAAAATTGCTAAAATTGTTTTGCCCAGAATTTTGAAAAATTAAATTTTGGCACATTTTTTGGCCAATTATTTGGCCAATTTCAATGTAAATTTCAACTAAAGATTTCAGTCAAAATATTAATCGATGTCGAATCTTTTATTTAAACAGAAAATCAAGTATATTAACATAAAAAATAATCAAAATTTTTTGATTTGACCGAATTGGTCATACTGAATGTATTCATAACTCTAATTGATAAATATTAAAAATACCGAGATATTGTTCGGGCACCAGTTTTCTCCTTAATTAAATAGCAAATCAAATAAATTTAATTTAACATTGAAAAATGTAATAAAATGCTGGTTAAGTGTTAAAAAATTAAAACATGAAAAGTCAAACAGGAAATAAATCATTTTTTTTTATATGAGTCCATGTGTGAGATCATAAATTGTAGGCCTATAACGATTACCAAAGATCAAATCAAATAAATTTGTTAAGTACTAATGCTTATATAATAGAAAAATAGAAAAAAAATTCCAATTTAAAATATTTTCAAAAATTTTCTACATTCTATGTCCCAATGTAGGGCGGCATCAAATAAATTATGAAAATAAATTTCTCTTTTTCGAAATTCTATAAAGTTTTTAATCCTTTAAAAATTTTTAATATTTATTTTATTTTTAAATTTTATTATTATAATTTAAAATACTCATAAAAAGTAAATTTTTATTGTTGTTATTGTTTTTTTTTTTGTAATTTTATTATCGTAGTTTTTAGTTTTTCTTTTATTATTGTTTTTTTGTATTTCTTTTGTTTATGCTACATGGTTCATTGGTTTTTGTTTTTCCTTTTTTTTTTTTTGAGTTTCCTTTTGTTTTAGTTTTTTTTTTTTTTTTTTTGTGTTTATTATTATTGTTGTTATTCTTTCCGCTTTTGCTACAGAATATATTAGCTGCAGTATTTTCATCTGTTCTTGGTGCCAGAGATCCGGAACAAGTTAACACAATGGCAAAACAAGCTGGTGAGGTAAAGTATCATAAGAATGCAACTAAATTATAATATTAAAATAATATAAAAATTTAGATAAAATTTTTGTTATATACTTATTATTTTTATATTTAATTATTGCTTTTGTTTTTATAACAATTTTGCTTAATTTTTCACATTTTATGTATTTTGTGTACTTGTTATAATTAAATATTATTTATGTATATAAACAAAATTTGATTTTTTTTTTTCACTATATACAAATTAATATAATACTTTAGTAAAAGCAAACAAAAAAAAAATTGATATTGCAAAAATTTAAAATAATATAACAAAATTACTGGTAACAAATTCGTGAACAAATTCCTCCTTCAGTTCAACAATATTTGATTTTAATAAAACCCTTTAGAGCAGTGATTCTCAAAGTGGTCTATATAGAAGTCCCAAAGTGGTCTATTTAAAATTAACTTTTATGATAGTATAACAGTTACTCGAACCTGTTAAACTGTTCTACAATAATTTCTAGAATATATTCGAGCTATAATTAGAAACACGACTGTAGAATTTCACGCAACTAGGTTTATTATTTTCTTTAATATTTAATATTAGTTTTTGTGATTGTATAACAGCTACCCGAACAAGTGCTGTCATTCCATTAATATTTTTCCCTGACAGAAAAAGAAGCAATTTGTGAAAATTTGATCGTGCCTGCTTTATTTATTCTTGGGGTATCTTACAATCGAATGGACGCGAACATGTTCAAAGCAGAATTTTACGCTAAACAAGAATATATATATAATACATGTTAATACCGCAGATGATCCCTTGAAATGATTACAAACTCCATACATAAGTTAATGTACCCTTTACTAAAGTGCAGAGTATAAGAAATTCTGTTTATATTTTTATTTCCTTGTTCCTAGATTAATATTTCCCCCGTAGAACAAATTAAAATTTTCAAATTTCACTTCATACTGACTGTATTTGTTGTAACAAATTTTGGAACAAAAAAAAAAGACTTTTCCATAATTACCAAAGTTTCCAAAACTTTTAATACAAACACATAATAGTAATCACAGTAAAACTTTCATATATCGAACCACTTAAATTCAAATATTTTTCATTATATATGGCTAGTTCATTGTATAACAGTTTTCTTGTACAAACTTCTGTTATACATTGTATAACAGTTTTCTTGTACTGTTCATGTTCATGTTCATGTTCATGTTCAACTGTTCATGTAAAAATTTTGCAATGGCATCCTTGAAAAACGCTCAACCTAAAATTCAAAAAAACTCTGCAGTCGTAAAAATTTTATTATTCATACAAAAGTTACCTGTATTTTATGTTATATATATAAAACTTATGTAAATACACACACACACACACACAAGATTTATGTTTCAGTAGATTTAATTTTTTATCTTCTTATTCTATTTTTTCATTTTTTTTTTTTTGAAAAATTAAACAAAAATCTAAATAAATACTTTTAATTAAAAATAAAATTATAAAAGTAATTTTTTATTAAAAAAAAAAAGAATATTATTAATTATTATTTCTCTTTTTTTTTCTCTTTTCTTCTCTTTTATCTCATTTAAATGCATTCATCTTTAATATACAACTATATATACATAATCACGCTCGTTTTATTTACTTACTGTTTGAATAACATCGTATATTTTACAAATATTTTTTGGGTATACTATCGCGGTAATTAAATTTGGAATGAAATTCACACCGTCATCATCATCATCATCATCATCACCAAAAATATTATATAAAATTTTGATGAAAAATCCATACTCATATACATTCAAATAAAATATGAAAATATATCGTATGTGCAGTTCATTAATATCGTAATCAATTTATTGGATGCATTGAAAACATCATTCTCACATAGATCATTAACAGCACGTTCATTGGGTAAACGTGATGCTGTTAGTGATGCTGCTGTTGCTAGTATATCATTATTAAAAGGATATGTTAAAACATATAAGAGTACAGAAGATAAATGTATGCAAAAATATTTATGTGAAGCAAATTCTGATTGTATTAATGAAATTGGTGGTACAAGCATTTTCTGTCAATTGGGAACGTAAGAATATATATATAATACAACACAATCAAAAAAACAAATGAGATAAAATTAAATTTCACTTTATTTTTTGTATTATTTTAGGTATGCAACTAGCTTTATGTTAGAACGTCAAACAAATAGTAAATTTGAAAATTTATATGATGCTGGTAGACGTGGTAGATCCGGTGTTGATTGTAAATCAGTTTATCTTGAATGTAATGAAGTTTAAAGGATACGAAAACAAAAAAGAAGCAAGAAAAAGGAGGACGAAAGTTGAAAAATACAAAAACAGAGAAGCAGAGAAATTTTATAATTTTCATCACACTATTATAATTTTTTTTTTTTCATTTTGGGATCAGGATTGTTGGAAAAAAGGGGAGAACAGAAACAAAACAAAAAGAAAAAATTCATCAACATTTTTTTTATTTATTCTCATCAATTTTATTATTTCCATCTAGTAAAACTAAATCTTGTATAAAAAACAAAAACACACACATAAACAAAATCATCAACTTCATTTTTTTTTTTTGCTCCCTCTCTCTCAATTTATTTATTAATTTATTTAATTTATTGAAAAAAACAAAACAAACCATTTTTTATTTATTGAATTGTCAGTTTTTAAGTTAATAAAAAAGAAAATTACATAAAATAGAAGAGAGAAAAAAAAAATCTCTCATATTTTGTCATCGAAGTATTTTCTCTCAAAAATTTTGAGAAAAATAAGTTCGAATGTACGGTAAATTATTTAAATAATTTTTATTATTCATTTGAAAAAAAAAAATTAAAATTACAAACGAAAGTCAAAATTAATTCTTCATTTAAAATTTATTTAAATATTTGAATACACAAACTGTCCTGGTTATTATAAGGCTACTGCATTAATAAATTTTTACAAAATACTTCAATGGGACCACCATCAAATAGGGTAAATACCTTAATTAACCAGGACAGTTGCATGTATAAAATTATTAACAAAAATTTTATTTTTAATTCTCATTTTCATTTATTCTCCATATTTATTTTACTATAGTAAAAAATTTAAATTATTTTTCTTAATTAAAATGAATTTTACAAAATTAAAAAAAAAATTAAATAAACAATTGCATTTGTTTACACTCTCATGTACAGCCGACCCTTCTCTTATAAATTCGATCATAATTGATAATTATGATTATGCGGCTATTGTATTGGCAATTGCATATTTACTAACTCAATATACTGTAAAACACATCATTAATAAATGAGTAAATCATAAATGATAATTATTGTTGTGAAAAGTAAGAATAAATTAAAAATATTTGATTATTTTGTAAAAATATAAGAAATTAAATTTTAAGAACAAATTCAATGAAATCAAATTTTAATTCCAAATTTATTAAAATTCATTCCAAAATTTAAATATTCTAAAGAAGGGACCACAAAACAAAATAATACACAATAAATGCAATGAAAATATTAACAAAACATCAAAAAGTAAAATGTCATTAAATTATATAAAATTTTTCATATACATTTGTACATTAATAATAATTGTCAAAAATAATTTTTTAATTTTACTTAAGCTAAATACTTATTTTATACAATAATAACTTTTATTTTAAAATTTAAACTATTTTATAAATTTTATGTGATTTCTATTTTAAAATACTTATATATCATTGGGACTTTATACAATTGTATTTTAAGACGGTCATTGTTTCCCGACTTCTCTCATAAAAACCTCTCATTAATGAATTTTTGAAGTTTATGTCAAAAAATAAATTTAATTCATTGGTGAGCAGGAATATTGTTGAGCACACGTGACGTATTTATGAGAAAAATTGAGAATAGCGACACTTATGCAATACAAATGAATAAAGACTCTTTCATAAAAAATTTTCATTTTAATTCATTAATTAGTTAATTCTACAATTTCATTTTATTTTAATATTATTGTCATTTTAAATATTATAATTATTTAAATTTTTTCCCCCTTAATAATTAATTATAGTTCTTATATTATAAAGTGTGAATGTGTTAAGTATGAATGGATTTTTTTATTTTAGAATACATTTTTTTTTATATTATAGAATTTTTTTTTTTGATTTGTAATTTGAATGCGTGTATTTTAATAATAATAATATTAAATAATAAAAAGAACAAAAAAAAAAAAACAAAATTTTACAAAAATATTTATTTAATTATTTTTATAATATTTAAAATAAATAAGTTTTGAAAAGAAAAAAATAAATAGTGTGTTTTTAATAAACTTTTATAAAAGTTTCTATATAACAAGAGAGTTTCCCACAAGGAGAGTGGGGGAAGTCTACCATATTAATGTAAAACATTGTTAAATTTTATTTCATTTGATAAAAATATGAAAAAAGTTTGATTTGTACAATTAGGTTCGACAATTTTGTTAAAAATAAGAAATATAGTGTGGCCTCCAAATTCAATTGATAAAATTTAATATATAAATCCTGCCGAACGATCCTAAGAGACAAATAAACTAAGTTTAAACATATATGTATGGTTGGGCATCTTACCAAAGTGAAAATCTAATGTCAACTTAGACTTATTCCGAGCAATATCACTTTAATTACTAATAAAGTGAAATTAACTTTAGATCTGCATTTTCGAAAATGCCCTATGGCCTATGTAATTTAATTTGTAATAAACTGATAAAATTTAATTTGTTTTAGGTATGCTGCTATAGTTAATCTTAAGGATCACAAACTGATTTTAAACCACGGCTTGAAAATTTGTAAGGACCTTCGCAATGGGAATACCAAATAAGTTCAAACCGAAGATGAAAATTCAATTTTTATTTTTAGAACTGCTACTTGTATTTTATAAAGAGTAGCTATAATAATGACAACATCAAAAATTATAATGAATTCAATGAATGCTTAACACAATTGAGAATAATTTAAGGGAAAAAATTTAAAATTTCCTTTAAATATTGTCTATGTTCTATAGACCATATAGAACAGTTATAATATAAAATTATCTAATCAAATTAGTTGATATTGTTATATACATGTATAAATTTTTGTTATAAAGAAATTTTCCACTAAATTTATGTTCTATTTAAAAAACAAAAATTGCATTAATTCTTTCTCTATAACCTTAATTACTTAATGCATTAGTAATGAATTTGTGGAAAATTTTTAAAACTTGCTGATAGTCACAACAGTTTAATTTATTTGCGGAAGAAGGAAATTCTTAATAAGAAGCTATTCTGTACTATAAAATAAACCAAAATAATCAATTTAAGAAATTTTTTTATCGAAACATGGAGTAAAAAATATTTATTAAAAAAAATTATGAAGAAAAAGGATCATAAATCAATAATTTATTAGAAACACTTCTTATTGGGAAAAAAAATCGTATAGGAAGAAATTTGAGGACAAAAGAAAATTTAATAAATTAATTTTTTATTTAAATGTTAAACTTGTTTAAGATATTTTTGAATAATGTTAAAGTAATGAGATTTTTTAATATGCTTTTTAATCACAAAATTCAATTAATTTTTTCCAATTTTAACTATATTACACGTAAATTTGAATATTTATTTTATTTCAAGATTATTGTATTTTGAATATAAGAGTTGCCTCTTACAATTTGTTTACATTTAAAATATTAAATTTACTTAATTGTATTTCTATCTACAGAAATTAAATCTACAATGTGAATACTAAAAATTTAATAATATCGAATTTATTTCAAACAAAATATAGAATAAAAATCAACATCACTGGATCTGATTTTAATTTAAATTATATTTAATCGATTAACAATATTCATAGTTACAAAACCTTTTAAATTTTAATTTTGTTAAAATTTTTAATATTAATTTAATTAAAAAATTCACTCTGCTGGAGTAGAAAATAATTGAATTTTAAAGATTTTATTAAATAATTTAATAGTAAGATAAAGACACATTCATTATACAATTTTTCAGTCTTTGAAAACTTAATTATTAAAAATATTAAAAATACCTACATTATTTTTTCATAAAAGATAAAAATTTTTATCCAAGTAGTAAGTAAAGAACTTAATTGTAACTTAATTTCTTCATTTACCTTGAATTTTTTCATAATTACATTTTTAATATGAAATATTTTCCAATGGACTTTTGATTTATGATCCTTTCCTATTATATTAGTAATAGATTTTGTTAATGAAATTTTATACAAAAATCAGGTTTAATGATTTTTGCAACACTACCACAACATATTTCTATCCGATAATAAATTTAGATTATACAAAAAAGGCAAAAATTCTGAAACAGGAAATTTAATTTATATTATTTTGCAATGAAGCAAATGTGGTTTCTTTAATAAATCTGAAAAATTTTTAAACTCTAATATTGTATTATATTAATGCTCTATTATTAGCATTGTGTATGACAAATATGACTTACAACACCGATTATGAGAATTGAGTTTAGTCAACTAGTACGGAATATGAAAACTGAAACTGAGTTATCAATACTATATACTCTAGTTGATTTCAGTAGAGATTCAGATTCTGAAAACTTATATACTTAATATAATTTATTGAAAAAGTAATGAATTTATTTATTTTTATTTTCAACAGTATAGAATGCAACAAAAATATTAAATTATGTTTATAACTAAAATTAAATTCCCAATTACTTAATTATTAAATATAATATATTCGGACTATACATGTATAAAATTAAATCCAAAAAGTCCTTTTATTATAACAATTATTGTAATTATTATTATCTTGTATAATAATCTAGTAAGTAATTACTTATTCTAAAACTAAATTTTAATTATATTAAATTTATATTTCAATATGGTATTAAGATTATTATTCTAAATCTCATTATATAAAATGAATATATTCCTATATATAAAACTAGAATATTAAATAATTTAATTAATTTTAATATTTGTGTATTATGCAATGAACACATTCACATATAATATTAAACTTGTATATTTTCAGTACAGAGATCTAAAATCAGTCACAGATAAGTTTAAATTTTTTAGTGTTCAGTTTTTCATATTATTTTAATGAATGATAACAAAAAATATATAAAATTATAAATAAATCATTAGAAAAAATAAATGATAATGTACAATACATACTCGTAAGTATGTATGAATGTATGGTACTCGTATTTAATTATAGAATGCATTTTTAATACAGGCAATATTGTAAACCTTGTGTATATTGAACATGGAATATTTGAAATTAAGTACATTTTGAGTATAT